CTACTTATTATCATATATATATGTCATAGTAGAATCTGTCGCGTACAGAGCAAATGAAACTTGTGCTGGGAAGCAGCAGACGGCTGTTCCGACTTGGTTAGGTCTGATCAGCGGTGCGAATCCATCGACCCAACTAGGTATCGAGCTGAGGACCCCACAAGAAAAACGCACTCAAGCTAACCACTCGACCAGTAGATAGCTGGTCAGACCGTTTTTCATGTTCCATTTAAACGATGAAGCACAACCTCATGAAGTCCCATGAAGTTGAATAGAATCCTCCACTACTCTAACTAATTTATATGCACATATAAGCGTAACGGATGCAAAACAAATGCATGTATTTTTTCTGTTTCACACACTTCCAACCACTCCTTACCACATTCACGTCGTCCAACCAAAACATATTTCTTCTGACATTATCTGTTTCACATTTGCTTGATTTGTACGGGTAGGATTATGAATGAATCGAAAACAATTGTCCACCTTCAGACTTGTGTTCTAATCTCACGATGGATTTATTCCGCAATCTAAACTTCGCTTATGAACCTCCCATGCTCATTGTGGTGGTTTACCCTATTTTGTCCTCAACCAAACTAGTTAACCCCCAACATAATTAAAAAACCTGATTTTGTTTACCCAAAGTGTGTTTAGCAGAGATCGGTGACCTTATCTTCATCGTATTTTATATGGAACTTTATTAATGAAAATAATTGACGGACCTTGGAATCTTCATGGATTTCCCTCCATCCAGTGAAAGTGTGAACACTAACATTTGACTTTTGATCTGATCTTGTTTATTCAAGTTGTCTTGTTTCCCAAAGTCGTGCCATTTTCCCACTCAATCTATCGTATGAATGTTTGCACAGAGCTGAGCATAAATGAATAAGCTCAATCTAACCTTTCCTGTGATAAAACACATTTGTACCCTAAGGGGGTGAGCATTGTATGTTATTGAAATGGAGAATAAGCACAACAGGAAGATTGAAAAGCAAGGACGGAGAGTTTTACATCATGGTCAAGAAAGGTAACACAGGTAGTGGTTGACCTAGAGCATGACGAGTTAGGAGGTAATTTAAGAGAATGGAACAGTTTTTATTTGCAACAAATTAACATTGATAATAAGTAAGATGTAAAGTTTATGTACACTAATAGTCGATTGGTCTGTCTTTGTTCTTTAGAACTTTTTCCAGTCTCTTCGGCATGGAATAAACCAACTTTGTCATGAAGTCATTTTCTATTTTGTGCATCACAATCGGCCAGTACTGTGCACACATGTGACCACAAATAAAACACGGAAAGATTGCTCCACTCTATTGGCGAGTCTTTGGTTTCCTTGTTAACGTGAACAATGTTGTTTGACGCGGTATACATTCCGTGAACTTGAATGCCCGGAAACATTTCCTTACTGTTTCTAGCTCTTCAAGTAAACTGTGGATGCTTAACTACATCGGATTTTCTATATCTACGGACATAGATTTCCTTGGATAATGGGCGATTATAGCCAGCTTAAATAGTAACTTTACTCCAGATGGGTTTTCGGCACACTTTTCCCCAACTGTCTTAGGAAAGGGAAAGTAAGGAACACAAATGACATTGATTAAAATCATATAACCGAGAAATACAGGATTAACATGCGGTATGAATTCAAATGACGTAAAAAGAGTAAACTGCACTGCAATCTTATACTGTACTAATGAAAACAACCTCATGAGCATAGTTTTGGGAGAGTGATACGGAGCATTCTCTTCGTAGGTGACACCTAACCTTGCATTCAACCATATTTTCTGGTGATTTCTCAGGCACTCGTGAATTGAACCGAAATTCCTGTCGGATCATATTCAGTTCCGGGGGAAAGTTGGGCACCTCTGAATCTTGATCCTCTGCTGCTTCCACAAGGACCGGATGCTCGAACGGCAGACAGGTCTCCAATCGGTCTGAAAGGAGGGAGAAAAAGTTAAAGATACCAGAAGATAATGAATATAGAGTTTTCACGGATTATGGAAGATAAAACAAATGTTTGAGGAAAGCATTTATCCAACGCACCAGACATTTCTCATGCGCTTCACATGGTAGAATATAGATATAAGACTTTATGCATTGTGTTCTTGGGCCGATTTCACTCTTTTGCAGTCCGTTTGGCTCTCACGTGTTATGGCATTTTATAGATGATGAAACTTTGTCTGTAGTCCTCCAGCAGCTAGCTTTAATTTCCTGTTTACTCCTTCCGTGGGTTCGTCATCAATTTAAACTATGTGGTAACTAAACAAAGTTTTATCGCTTTTAAAATTCAAGAACATACAGGTAATTTAAAAATTTATTAACAAAGGGACTCAGATAGGAACACAATGCACAAATTCTCGTTTCTCTTCAGGGGCCAGAGTTTTGACTCTCAATAGCAAGTAAAGTTGTACTTCCAGTTGATGAATACCAGCAACATAAAAGCAGTTGATTATATCCTTTGCTAATCATCGAGAAAATAATTAACAACCTTATTCAGTCGATCGCGAGATGCTCTTTCTTATTAATTAATAAATCGATACGCTCTAGAAAATGAATTTTTTCAGTGGTCTACCAAACCGGGACCCGTTAACATCATTTGGCTGTCAGCAAGCATGACCCAGTATTACTCAGTTCTCTTCATCAAGAGTCATTCAACTTCGGATCAGTGAGAATCATCGACCAAATCCAATCAAACTACACCATAGAATTTCTTAAAGCATGGCTCTCTTTATTCAACTCAGTAAACAGACACTTCAAGCTGAATCAACTATACATGTCAATGCAACTCAAGGGTCAAATGATGGAACAAAAGCTCAAGTCGTGACCAGAGAACGGATCCTAGAGCGCAATCCCGACGACAGAGTAACTCCTTCCGGCCCTCATCGCACTAGTTCGACGGAGAACCATGTCAAACACCGTGAGAGCTAGAGAAGAACATAGTCAAGCAAACGGGCACAAACAGAACACTACTACTTCACTGAAGATTTAAGCTCCACTGGTGATAAAACGTTTGCAAACAATTCGCCAAGCTCGGAGAACAGCAAAAAATGTATTCAGCTACAAAAGGGAAACTTTCAGGTCAGCAAAAAACTAGATTTATTAGTGATCGATTTATCGCGCTCTATTCACTTTCACTAGGCTCGGAATGAATGGAAATCTCTAATAAATAAGTGTTAGCGATTCTGTATGACAAGCAATAAGCTATCATCAAAGTATTTCATCAAAATATAAACATACGCCAATTGAACAGCCACTTAAAAGGGGATTTACTTTACCACCAACATTCGTTCAACAAAGAGCCAATGTAATAAACAAATCGCAGTCAAACAGTTACCCCAGTTCTTCGTTCTATGTTATTTTTCTTGCTTCGTCGGCACCATACTTGTTTGCAAGTCAAGTCAAGCCAAGTGAAATCAAGAAACGCTTTATGTACCCTGCAAGTACAACTATGTTGGAGATTCGGCTCCACCGATATCGGTGTGTTCACTGTAGAAAGCGTCTTTTTGTGTATCAGGATTGGAATCGATCGATGCATGCGCTGAAATAAAAAAACAAACGCCTTTTTCTGTTGCTTTCCTTCCGGAAACCGATAGACGCTTGGAGCCGCATCGCACATAACTGCCTGTTTACGAAAACCCAATCGATAAGAGAGGACTGGACCCTGTTTTCAAACAAAATACTTATCCCGCGCTGACCTACTGATCAGCCTTCTTCGTCGCTTGATGTGCGAAGAACGTACCTCGAAGACAAATCTGACGCACTTAAGTGGCTTGTAATAGTAGAATCCTGAATTCGAGTATCCGACACACAGCAAATATCGACCACTAAAGATTTCATTTTACGGTCCAGACAAGCTTGTTGACCGACTTGCATCAGAGTCCTCATGGTGAAGGTTCCCATGTTCAGTGATTGATAAAGCTACATAATCTAAAATCTAGTTTGTGATAAGTTACTTATGGGTCTGTTTGGATACGACCTTTGGCGAGCGACATCCAAGTTTCTAGGGAGACTAGTACACATCGGAAGTAGGAGCTGGGTACGGAAGAAAAAGATTTAAACAAGGGTTGAAGTATCTGATACCCACCCCGCTCGATGCAATGGACAGCGCGGCCCACATTGTCCTGTGCGACGTTCGATGCAATATGGCATTATTTCTACTTTGTGCATGCATTAGAGTTTGATGGACGGGTACTGTTGGGGTGTCCAGCCACAAAGCAGGAGAACGAATAGGGTTCTCAAACAGAGCATTTATATCTGACAAGAACCTAAACGTCAGGCAGCGAGTGAAGAGAAATGGAGGCCCAATAACCTGGACAGAGTACTTCTGCACCATTGTTTACCGACCGAAACGAAAAATCTAGTCAAACTCCCAACCGGGAGTACCAGGAAGCTGAACTTTGTATGACATCTGCACTTCAACCTTCCAGGCAGGAATAGCTCTTCGACTTGACAAAAGCCATCGTGGGCAGCTCATTGGGTCAGATATATTCATAAGCCACCACACCGTGATGGATTTTAAGACTAAAAGGAACGTCAAGGTACTCATTGATATTAAGTACTAGATATCTGGGCACAAACCAATCGTGAAGTTCTGTCAGGTTGTCCTGAAGGGGCCGAAAACTGTTTGAACTAGGGGAAGGGTACCCAATCATTATATCATCATCTCATTCGTAGGCAACAAAGTTATTGGGAGTGAGGTTGTGTATAAATATAGATACAAAGAAATAGGCTAAGAAGGCACCCCAAAAAGCACCAGCATCAATGTCAATAAAAGATGATAACAGGGCGTTAAATAAACTAAACTCGGAGAAGTACTCGATTAGAGCATTCAAAATCTTAGGTGTCATATCACAATTATAAAGCACCCATCGTTCCAGAGAAATAAAGGCGTTTGTATAATCAAGGCAAATGAGCGGTACCTTCACATTATACATGGCGGATGCAATAGATTGAACACTGTAGACAACAGCGTCCAGTGTGAACAACTGGGACTTAAAGGCAGACTGTGAAGGATCGTGGGGTATCGTGCTGTGCGACACAACATTTTCAAAAGCTTCTAGCAACACAAATGTGCAGGTGACTGGAGAGTACTTTGATGATCCCATCTTTGGGATTGGTCTAATCCGGGCTGACATCCAACAATCGGAGATCGTTCCGGACTACAAACAGGTACTAAACAACGCAGTAATACGTGTTGCGGCATACGCTTTTACCGAATGAGGCGCTAATCGATCGTTATCATGAGCTTTGTGAGCCTTGAGTCCCAGTAAGACTTGGAGAAACAGGGTTTATTGCATTATGGATTGGAAAAAGAGATGGGAAGTATCAGATCTATTAGGGTTTTCAGTGGTAATGCACGAAAAATGGTCAGAACAAGTGGCGACTTACGTCACCACAGCATAAGCGACCGATATTACTAAAGAGGCAGGGGTATCGTGAATAATGGATAGACAAATAGATAGAAAAACACATAGATCAACACATGGATAGATAGAGAGAGATGGATTGATCAAAAGTTAGCTGGATGGATTGAAACATTAATAAATGAATAGATAGAAAAGTTGACAGAAAAACACATAAATAGATACATAGATAAATAGGTAGATAAATAGATCGATAGATAGATAAATAGGGAGAGAGATATAGAGTGCTTTGACCCAGCTGGACGTTACGGCGGTACCATTTATTTTGTCCAAGATAAATCTCGTCAAAGAGTCATTGTTGATCCTAGATTTTTTGTACCGTCCCTTGTGCTAGGAATGACCTCGGTCAAAGTCATATAGAGGGATTGAAATAAAAATAATCAAGTCCCTTACTGAATGATCAACGTTTCCGTTTGATCGTCATCTATCAATTATGGTTGGTGTACATCACGCGAAAATGGTCGCAGGTAAAGTTTAGTTCCAAAAGCCGAGCACTTATTGGTGAACCAGTAAAGGGCTTTCAAATGCATGCTCGTAAATGGAAACAAATGCAACGCTAACGTTGTTAGAATACAGAATCTTTCCGTATGACATATAACTCCTCTACAAAAAGGAAATAACTCCAATTTGGTAATTTGCGGCTTAGAAAAGCTTTTTGATTTTCATTGTTTGGTATTTCGTGGTAAAACACGAGTGAGAGTCAGTAACTTGCATATTCCGGTATATTAAGTTATGTATGGAGAAGGCTACATTCCAATTCCATCTTATGCACTGATAACGGTTTAGATATCTTCAAGTGGGAAGCAGAGCAGTAGTTCTCCTCTTTAATGGACTTCATCTCAATTACCATGGTGTGATTCTTTGTTCGTAGTGCTGTGTACTTCGTCAAATCGTCTGGCCGGTTGTCAAACAGACAGTTCCTCCTATGTTGTACTTGGATTAGTTCTCGGTTGGAAACCATTTCGGTTGCCATAAAAACAGTGCACTTGTTATTGTAGTCACTTTAAGAACTAAACATGATTAAATTTGGAAATCGATGTCGGGAAAGTAATATTGCACAATTCACACCCTGGAGAGTTCGATAACTGTGACATTAAAACCAAAAATTGAATGACATGAAGCCAAACGTCTTATGTATGGTGTCAAGAAACTGTGTTGGCGCAAGTATACTTTTTCCCGATATGTGATCTTATCTTTAGTCTTAAAAACAATAAAATTCATGGAATATTTGCCTCAGTTGCAACAAACATGATGCGTTACATCTATCATAGAAATGCTGACATTTGCGGAGAAAAATGAAGTAGGGGGTAGGTTTTGGAGTTTTGATGATCATCTTTCTTTCGAGCTGGTGTGAAAATCACATGCCAAAGGCATCATGTCTATAAATATTCAAACAATCACAGTTATCGGTTTCTTGAAGGCTGACAGATATTTCTACTATCAAATACCTAAGACACATGATTGGATTGCCTTTTTAAATTTTTATTTAATCATTTGGGATTTACTTGACA